AGGTAGCAATAAGTGTTGCCACCGGAGACAACAATGATGAACTGATGGCTAAATCAACCAAGCATTAATTAATAATCAAAGGAGCCCTCTGGATGCGAGCCAACGTACATGTGTACAGTACTTACAGATTTTGCAAGATTTGTGGCTCTAGGCTGACCTTAGATCATGGTTATGTGATTATCATCTTCACCAGGCCTTCTTTTAATGGGTTCCAAACGGTGCATAAACATGTAGATTGTTATGTTTAACATGTGTATACAGCATAATTATAGAAAATTTTTTATAGTCAAAAGAATATAATATGTGCATATTAGTAACACAGATGTTTGTGTATGCATTGATGTTCTGCACAATTATACTGTAAATATTTCCCAAATTACACACTATTGCATAATATAACTGCAAAAATCCAGTGAAAAAACAAGACAGTGATTAAGAAATAAATCAGTATAAGCAAAGTATATTTAAGGCAACTCATGTCGTCCATCTGGCCCAGGTGGATCACCACAATGCATTTCGTCCAACAGCGAGTGTGAATTTATAACATTTTGATTTTATGCTCTCCACCACAGCCAAAGTAAATTACAGTACATACATGTACTATTTTGTTTTTGTTTCCTGTGATCAGGGAATATATTTTAACAATATAGGAAGTACAAATAATTTGTTTGATTTTTTTTTGTGCACCGCAGTCTCCATGTGAAATGGTTGCACATTACAGGGGTTAATACACTTAAACCACTTTAGGGTGATATATATAAGGTCTTGTACAAGTTATAGTGGGTACTAAAAATTACATTCAAATTAGTACAGTTAATAGCTACAGTGCAGCATGGGGATAAAGTGCTGTACTGTATAATATGTTAGATGCAATTTTACGCACTTCTGCCACACCCATCCACTCATTAATATCTGTACACACTGAGTTTAGGAGAGACGCCAAGGTTCTATCCCAGGGGCCAAGGTTCTATCCCAGGGGCCAAGGTTCTATCCCAGGGGCCAAGGTTCTATCCCAGGGGCCAAGGTTCTATCCCAGGGGCCAAGGTTCTATCCCAGGTGCCAAGGTTCTATCCCAGGGGCCAATGTTCTATCCCAGGGGCCAATGTTCTATCCCAGGGGGCCAATGTTCTATCCCAGGGGCCAATGTTCTATCCCAGGGGCCAAGGTTCTATCCCAGGGGCCAAGGTTCTATCCCAGGGGCCAAGGTTCTATCCCAGGGGCCAAGGTTCTATCCCAGGGGCCAAGGTTCTATCCCAGGGGCCAAGGTTCTATCCCAGGGGCCAAGGTTCTATCCCAGAGGCCAAGGTTCTATCCTAGTGAACTCTTTGAGATCATGCATAGTTCCCATTATACACAACCCATCCCCCTGTTTAGATAGTTTTTGTAACTATGTGCACCATAATACAAAGATAACTTCTACTAATTGCTTTGATGTACTAAGTAATTAGTAGAATTTTGTACTATTTACTTTATAAGAGTTTGAAAAAACTGAAGCTAAAAACCAAGCTTTAAATATTTCTAGGCCTAATATAGCACACACACATGTACTATATTAGGCCTCAGATATTGTCTTAGGCCTAGGGAGGTTAGGTTAGTTTAGTTTGTCTTTGCAACATAAATAAAAAATCTTTTCGGGTTTATTCAAGTTTAATAGTACCGATTTCTTTCAAGTTACGTTGTACGTCAGTACAGTATACTGTATGTACTATGGTCTTCATTATTATTATTATAAGTACTACCAAAACAGGGAGACGGGCTGTTATATGAGGTCACTTAATGAAAACCATGTCACATATTGATAAAAATATATGGGTCTACTCTACTAGAGGTTGCTATAATACTTTTTTTTTTTTATATGAAATGAGATGACCAGCACTTACAAATTGGCTTTACAATGAGCAGTGTTAAACAGTGCGTGTGTGTGTGTGTTATAGAAATATTGCCTAATAATATTGAAAGGATAAGTTTTTAAAAACATTATTGTTGTACAGTACAGTACTATATTTGTATTTTATGGTGGTACTGTATATCCATATTTTTTTTTTTTTTTTTTTTTTTTTTTTTAAGAATCTTTTGTTGCCTAAGATATGCAACTTTACCCTCGTATTTCTATTGATGTCTGTTGATTCCAAGGATCAACATCCCCATGTCTTCCTGGTTGCTGGTCTGGTCAATAAGGCTGTTCGACGCAACCACATCGAAAAATCACAGCCTGTCGATATAAGTCATAGCCTGTCGATCAGGTATCCTTTCAAGGCGTTTATCAGGTTCTCTTTGGACACTGTGAGAGGTTGGTCAGTTATACCCCTTATGTATAAGGAAGTGCTGAAAAGTCTCAGGCCTTTGATATTGATCTGATCGAGTCCTTTCTCAGCATGCCTAATGTACGTCTACTTTTCAATGGGGGGTACTGTATTTTGCGCATTGTGCCATTCCTTCTGGTCTTGTGTGGTGTCATTTCTGTGTATATATTTGGAACCAGTCTTTCTTGTACTGTATCTTCTAAGGTGTAAATTACTATATATCTCTTGCCGGCACTCTTGGGAATACAGGTTAAACATTTTTAAGCAGTCCCAATAATTTAATGTTATATTTACCTAAATTTACCTGAGGGCCGCTAAGTTTAGTTGCCTCGACAAGGACAGGAAGCCAGCGACTTGTCAAAGGTTACCCTCATTTGCCCTGATGATCTTTGCCAGCTGTATTTTAAAGCCCAGCAGAGTTTTGGCATTTACGGCTTCGGCGGATAGGCAGTTCCATGGGTTTACAACCCTATGGGTGAGAAAGCATCTCATGTTCTCAGTCCATCATTGTGGCTTGTTGAGCTTGAAACCATTGCTCCTCGTTCGTGTTACATCTGACCTTTTGAAGAAATTGTCCGCATCAACATCCTCAAAATTGTTCTGTACAGTATTTTAAAAGTTTCAATGAGATTTTATGGATTCTAGCAATACAAGATCTTTGTGCACTCTCCACGTCAGCAATTTCTCCAGCTTTGAATGGGGCTCTTAGTGTGCTACAATATTCCACTCTAGAGAGTACTAGGTCCTTAAAAAGTCTTGTAATGTATTTTTACATATACAAGGTTGTTTGACTAGACACTAGAGTTTAGTAGTTTTTTTGTTTATTTAATAAAGTATAGGCTGTAGGCCGAAGGCCTGGTCGACGACTGGGCCGCGGGGACGCTAAGCCACGGAAGCACCTCAAGGTAGGCTTGGTTACTGCAGTTGGTTGTTGGCAGTGTAGTAATGTACAGATAATTCACATTATCCTGATATATCGGTGAGAAAATCCACAGGAGCCGTGATGAGATTCGAACCTATGCGAAGCTTTCTCTTGAGACAGAACCAGAGTGCATGGGGGGGAATTGTGTGAAACTCCTGGTTCGGCTTCAATGGAAGCCTCGGGAATCATCGAGGGTGCAGTAGTACCCCAGGTTACAATTCTTTTGACCATGGTGTGGCATAGCCGTTTTTAGAGCTTGCATCTGGGAACACCGCGTGCATAGGTTTGAATCCTCATCATGGCTCCTGTGGATTTTCTCAATGTAGTATTGTAATGTGTCGTGATAGCTACGATGAGGCCTAGAGCAAAGAGCTTGAGCAAGGCTGGGGATACAGAGTTCAATTGCGGGACGAGAGCGTGGAGCTCGGATGTGGGAGGGATCAGACATGTCGAATGCGGGACGAGAGTTGTAACTTGAGTATGGCCGGAATCTGGCTGTCTGCTCTGTGACAAGGCTGTTAACATCTTGTGAGAGTAGGAACTAGATTTGACAAGTGTTACATTATTGCTGGTGAATGTCAGTTGGTGTTGCAAATCCACGGTATCCCTCGAGCAACTATACTGTACCACTACAGTACTGTACAGTATTTGGGTTAGACTCGGACTAACGATGCTCCCATGCTTGGGGCTTACATTAAAAGCTTTTCCTCACTTTGCTAAACTGACCCATGTCTTTGCAGGTTACCTGTTACCTGTCGGCTGGCCTGATTAGTCCTTTACCCTTGGGAAGAGATATTAATTGTAATTAGTGCATATAAGATTAGTGTAGAACTTCTTGGAATGTGGAATTCTTAGGGATATGTTATGTGGAATTAACAGGCACGTCTAATTATCTGCACTGAAAATTCTGATAATTTGGAGCAATTATATTATGCTTAGATAATTGCTACAATATCATCATTAATGTACTATCTCTTGTTTGAAGGGTTACTGTTATCCAACTTATCATTTTTCTTGCAGTTGTGACACCTACTTTGTTGTGTTCTTTAAAAGTAAGGTCTTTTGACATGATTACTTCCTAAATCTTTTATATTCCTTTTTCTTTTAATAGTGTGGTTTGACTGCATTTTATATATTATTTTCTGTGGCCCATTGAAAGACTTGATTAACCTCAGATTAGAGGTTTGCCATGTCTTCTGTATTTTCTGTTGTCATTATAATCCTAGCGTCATCTGCAAAGCATGTTCCAATAATATAGTTTGTATCCTTGCCTGTGTCTGATATGAGGATGAGAAAAAGTACCAGAGCAAGCAGAGTATCTTTAGAGACTGAGATTTTCACAATGGATGTATTACTAGTGCTAGAAGAAAATGTTCTTTAATAGCCACTTTTTCATGTAGCTGCTCTTAAGTATTTAATATTCTACACTTCGAGTATGGCTCGTAAAGAATGGACTGGAGGAAGATTGCCTGTGTAGTAGCTTGGTTTCTTATCTTGGTAAGAATTAGCAGCGACTGTAGTTTTAAACACTCTTTTTGTTGAAGCTTCTCTGAATTAATTTATCAGTAAATTATTTAACAATAAGCTTTGCATAAATTTTGATACCCCTTGGTGTGTGTGAGCATATACTGCATCTTCACTGATTTTTCCATAATATGAAATTCTGCACTCTGGCTATGCATGACTTTTAAGTTAATGCATTGGGGTCCGGCAGTAGCATGGCCTCGAATTGTTTTAGTTGTTAAGGCACTAAGAACCGCACTATACCATTCCAGACCGGTCTCCTTGGGTTGATACATTTGGAGGAGACATTGCCACAGCTACTGCATCTGTCCACCATACCATAGCTTCTCACTTACAAAGCAATGATAGTAACACTTATGATTACAGTAATAAAGTACCTGCTTCCCCTCACTCCCACCAGCCTCTTGATTACAATAATGATGCTCCTGCTCCTCCTCACTCCCGTCAGCCTCGTGATTACTCTCCTCACTCACGATCCCATGCACACTCCAAACCCTATCACCAGCAACAGTCCTCCACATCCCAGCAATCTAGTAAAGTGTCTAGAACAAATAATAACCCTGCTGCTTATGTACATAATGAAAATCCTGATCTTGCCTATGGTTATGTTCCACCCCCTAATTCACGCTCCCCCAATGCCAACACACAATATCCTCCTGAGCATGAAGATGGTTACTACCCCTACCCTAATTCCATGGGTGGACAGAATGCATCTGATAACTATTCAGGGAAAGCTACAAATGGCTCAAGTGGGTCTTATCCTAGCACTAACAGACATGGTGCTTCACACGCAAATTACCCGACTAACAACCAATATGCAAGTAAGAACTAAACATTATTTTCTGTTATTTCTTGTTGCTGCTGCATCATCGTAGTAGCTTGTAGAAGTTGCTGGTGTGGCTTTAATTGCTTAGTAATTCTTGTGAGGTTTGTGTTTCAATGTTGTTTATCATCTAAATATTAGCCTTGCAGGTAACCATAATTGTGAATTGGTATATTATATATAAATTTAATAACATTTTAATTGCCAGCAGATGGTGGTCATATATGGTAAGCTATACGGTATATATGTTGTATGCATGTAATGTACAACATTTCTATGAAGAGTACAATGTGTATACGAGAGCAGTACCAACTTTATCATGCAAGATTTTATTTCAGATGTTATCCGGGTTAATATTTTTATTTACTAGCTAATATTGATCCTAGAAATTTTATTTGTGCTTTGTTATATATCTGAAGTTTAATATGTTGCATGTGGCACTTTCTGAGCATTTTGCCCCCAAAACTGTAAATAGCTTGTTTTAGGAATGTTTAGGTCATGTGTATTTGTTACGTCATAATGATAATCATGTTTTATCATGTTGCATGGATTGTATATAGCAAAAAAAAAAAAAACACTGTTTCCTGTAACTCGTTTATCTAACAGATGTTGCTTGCTTTCATTTTTATTATAAACACAGTTGACACCTGTTAGTTCAGTGTGAGACTTCTGGTGGCATTATGAAGTAGTCGATTGTGAACTACATTTGTTAGTAGGATGGGGAAATTAAGTATTTTTTGTGGCCTCACAATTTACTCCCGAAAATATAAGTAAAACTCTAAAAGTAGGTCACTTTGACTGCACAACACATAGTTTGCTACGAATGATCTGCCCAAAAACCCTGTGCGTGTTAGTGGCCTCGCAAGAATGTAAAAATACCAATCTTGTGTAATCTCGCCAACCCATTGGACCTTCTTGTGAATAAAGATTTTTATTATTATTATTATTATTAATGGTGACAGGATGTGTAGTGCAACTTTATCAACACTTTCTTTGCTTGACAACATCTTTTTTTATTTTCCAAGATATTGATGCTTTCATTTGAGCCCATCTTATCTTGAGGTTATCTTGAGATGATTTCGGGGCTTTAGTGTCCCCGCGGCCCGGTCCTCAACCAGGCCTCCACCCCCAGGAAGCAGCCCGTGACAGCTGACTAACACCCAGGTACCTATTTACTGCTAGGTAACAGGGGTATAGGGTGAAAGAAACTCTGCCCATTGTTTCTTGCCGGCGCCCGGGATCGAACCCAGGACCACAGGATCACAAGTCCAGTGTGCTGTCCGCTCGGCCGACCGACTCCCCTTTATTAAATATCCAAGAATACCACAAGATGCAGACAGTCCAGAGTTGTCACCTGCTCATCAATTTGATGCAGTTTTCTTAATTCAGAATACTATGGGAAATGCCATTTTGGTTCTTAGTCATCTGGGTAACACTACAGAGATTTCAATAGAGCTCTAAAATGTAAGGATTCACAACTGTGTAATGCATTAGCAGAGGCATATGTTTGGAAGTGAGATTTGCGAATTGAAAAGTAGTTTTATTTTAAATTTGAATACTGAAGTCTGCATATATATCGTTCAGTTAAATATCAGGTGTCTACTGTGTGTGCATATTTTGCATGAGGTTTGTGTGTTTGGGTTTAGCTTGATTGTTTGTTTGTGGTAGCTGGAGCCCCACCTCGTGATGAAAGTAAACGACAGCAGGAACATCTTCAGCAAATGCAGCAGCAGCAACAGCACCATCAGCAGCTACAGAAGCATCATCAGCAACTGCAACAACAACAACAACAACAACAACAACAACAGCAACAACCACAACAACCACCACCACAACAGACTTTCGTTGCTCCACACCAACAGCAGTACAGTGGACCTCCCCCAACCTCTCAGCACCGACACCTACCCCAACCTTCCTCAACCTCCTTCCTCCATCACCAGCATCAGCAGCAGTTCCAGCAGCCTCCGCAGAAGCAACAGCAGCAGCATCCTCCCATCTCTTCCTACCACCACCATCCTGCTCCCCAGAACATGTTTCATGATGCCAACCATAACTCGCCTTACTCAGCACGCACCTCCCAGACTCTCATCTACTCCAGTCAGACTGGACCAGGTACAGTAAATGATGAACCCTCACACAATAAGAGAAGTTTTGATGTACTTAATTAAAAGGTAGACAATGTAAAATATGTTATAAGCAACACACGATTAAAGTTAAGAAGGAAGTTGTGTGTGTAGTTACCAAAGTGTAATTACCGAACTGTAGTTACAAGATGAAAGCTACGCTCATTGTGTCCCATCTTCCCTATATGACTCTCTTGAAATATTGATGGTTTTGCCACCAACCATTTTGTTGCTTGAATTTTTTCAATTGTCTGCAACTCTGTTTGCAAAAAGAGAACTTTTGGACTTCTTTTAGGCAACTTCACTTTCCAAGCTTGAGTCTGTGGCTTCCTTGTACTAGACGATGCTGTTTTTAAAATTTCCTCCTTGTTGATTCCTATCACAATTTTGTATGTGGTGGTCATACCTCTTCTTTTCCTTTATTATATTCTTATATATTAGCCTGTGCATTTTTAATGCCTCTAGTCTTTGTTGATAGTTCTTGTTTTTAGGTCTTGGTCTTCGAATGTGTTCTCCTTTGGTCTGGGATGGAGCAAAAACACTGATGATTCCTTTATTTCAGGTTTGTTGGTCAAGTGTCTAATTTTCAGCCACATTGTGACTTATTGTGTGCACACACTTTTTTTTAGTAATTAGTGTTTTTAGTATCTTTTCACATAGTTTGTAGGTTAAGTGTGGCCTATTTTTCCCTAATCTACATTTCACATGATTGACTTTTACAGTATTTACATCAAATTCAATCTGCAAAGTGTTGTTCCATTCACTTTTGTGTGTCATTTTAGAGGACAAGGCCATCTTCTAAATCTTTGACCCTCCTTAGCAATTTTAGAATCGTCTGCAAACATTCATGTTGCTGTTTATTGATATAGATAATGAATATCACTGGTACAAGAACTGAACCTTGAAGTACTCCAGTAGTGGCACTTCTCTAGTCTGACACATTTCATCTGATCACTGCTCTCATTTGTTTGTTAGAAATATTTTCAGCCAGTTTAGTAGACTGCCTGTCATCCTTCGAATGTGTTTTCATTTTCAGACAAGTTTCTTGTGTAAGACTGTCAAAAGCATTATTTAGGTCCAGGTATATGTAATCAGCCCAGTTTCCCTTCAAGATCTCTCTGGGTCTATAGTAAAAGCAATGATGACTTCTTAGGCAAGATCTACCCATTCAAACACCAAACTGTCCATTGTCATGCTGTTTTTATCTAGGTGTTCTGCCCATTTGATTTTAATTCTATTTGCTAGTGCTTTTACTACCACACCTGTCAGTAATATAGGTCACTAGTTTAGAGGATCTTTCCTGTTTCCATTTTTATAGATACTGTACTATGTTCGCTATTCTGGGTGGAGCCTCTTGGTGGCTCCCTGGAGCTATCTCACTGAAATGGCTGCCCACTACTAGGTCACATGAATCACTGGGAACTAGAGCCAGAACCTGGCTCCCTCATAGGCAAAGAGAAAGCAGGGGGGGACCGTTTTCATCACCTTCACCAGAAAAGCATTGAGACAGTCATCGAAGCTTTACAGACAACTGCAAGGTTCATAGAAAATGAATCATCAAAACAGCCAACTAACTCCACAAACTATTTGGGTGATACAAATGGATCACTCAAAACTAGTACTGATAGCCGGCACCAGGTGACTCGGAGCCCAGCCCACAGCAGCCTCCAATAGTTAGTCCTTTCGCTTATGTGGATGAGCCCACTTGTAGAGTACAGTACTTTGCAGGCCAATCTTTCACAGTGGATCCCACTACATTACTTCCAAGAGTCTAGGGCATCTCAGGCTGCCCTTGACTCTTAACACTTTGCCTGGCCCGGTGTGCGACCCCTAGCACACCCTAAGGTTGACAGAGTATTTTCTGCGAGTGCGCACCTACACTAAAATGTGTGTACTCTTTTTCACTTTTCCCACCTTAATTTTTGAGCTACGTCGTTCATTTTGGTATCAAATTATTCCCAATAGCGTTCGCTAAAAGGATATTTGCATATAAGGTCAAAAGGTCCGTCGTACCACCTGCATCAAACCCGAAAATCGGTCGAGCGTTACCCCGTGAGTTTGCACCCCCCGCACTCAGATGTTTATACTCTTTTTCAGTGTTTTTGCCTCACATTTTGTGCTACGTCATTCATTTTGGTATCGAATTGTTTGCAATAGAATGCCCTAAAGGGACATATGCACATAACGTTAAATGGCCCAGCACGCATCCTGCAGCATTCCCGAAGCTAGGCAGAGTTTTACCCGCACCCACACGCACTCAAATATTTATACTCTTTCCAGTCTTCCCCACCTCAATTTTTGGGACTCAATTTGTGGGACTTAAAGCTAGTCCCATAATAATCGATCAATAAATGGAATTTTAACACATTGTAATTTTGGATGCAGCGTGTGTCCTCGCATACAGTGAGTATATTCATATACGGACACATTATGCATTATCGGTCAGGCAAAGTGTTAAGTGGGTGGCCCAGTTGTTCCCAGTCCCCACATGGGACTTAGTAGACATACAGTTAGTCGCTGGTTGGAGCTGTTTCATCAGGAGTCATCAGAAAGAGAGCCATTTCATTTAAGTTTCATCAGGCCCTAAGGGGCCTGACAGCTGAGTGGACAGTGCTTTGCATTCGTAGTCCTGAAGTTCCGGGTTTGATCCCTGGTGGAGGCGGAAACAAATGGGTGGAGTTTCTCACCCTGATGCACCTGTTCACCTAGCAGTAAATAGGTACCTGGGAATTAGACAGCTGCTACTGGCTGCTGTTTAATTGGGCCAGGTTACACCTACAGGCTTCCTGGGGGTGTGTAGCAAAAAAGGAGGCCTGGTCGAGGACCAGCCGCGGGAACGCTAAGCCCCGAAATCATCTCAAGATAACCTCAAGGCGTGCAACTCGGTGTGTGTGTGTGTGTATTTGTGGCTATGTGGCAGGCTCTTCAGAGGGTTCAACTTTTACCAGACTCTATGTTAAGGCTCATCTTTTATTGCTCCCTGGTGGTTCTTTCCTTGGACCACAGGGCCCTTGTTCAGCTGTCTGTCTATCTTTGGAAATGGTCACTTCATGTAGCTCCAGTTCTGGATTCTCATGGTTTGGTCCTCTGTATGGTTCACATGCAGGGGGTGTGTTTAATGTTCTCACAGATGAGTTCCTTGCTTCCATTTCTTCCATGGAATAGTCCGTCGTCACTGTCTCCTATATTGGCTTTGAGAGATGTTTACTCACACTGAGATGGACCTCTTTGTGTTGGTATGAAGCTGGCTTTTTCCCTCAATGGCCCTGTTCCCTGATATCAAGGCTCTCGCTATGGATGCCTTTTGGCTTGACTAGTTGAGGTGAGGATTCATTTGCCTCTCCGCTGGTTCAGTTGTTGCTCGGAATGTTCTCCAGTATGGAGTCGTATTGAAGGAGATTGATCCTTCTATCAACTTGTGGTCATTTTGGACTTTGTTTCTGGCTCTTTTGGCTTGGTGTCCAAACCCAGGCATTTTTCCGTGGCTCTGCTGCTTTCAGCTGGTTGGCCCAGCAATATACCTGTTAGTTCGGCCTTCTCCTATGTTTTGTATACAGTATCTGGAGTTTTTTTTACGTGGGTCTTTCGGCATTGTATGGTGAGCAGGTGGCTGGGTTATTGGTATCCCACCTCTCTCTCTCTCTCTGCAGTGGCACTATGATGTTACCTAATACTGTACTCATTTTGTCTCTTTATGTCCCTTCGTCTCTTCATTGTCTCTATTCTCTTTGGTATCTGAGCGATTTTGTCCTCATATCATGGTTGTCTTTGAATTAGCTTGTGCCTGATACTGTTGTCTCTTGTCATTCGGCATTGTGGAGATATTGTGTCGGTTTCAACGCCATTCCGCAAACTATTTTGAGTGTTCTTTCACCTCCGGCTAGCTCAATCACCTCTTGAGCTGTTTTTGTCTCTTGATGAGGCCTTGGTCTTTCTTTCCTCTCCTTGGTTTCAGTTCCCGGGTTACTTCTTTGGTTGGTGATATTTTCTCAGAGTGGTATTTTTGTTGGCTCTGGCCGCTGGCTGCAGGGTTGGGGAGATTCATATTTTCCTCTGGAGGTAGGGGAATATTGTTGCTTCAGCCTTGGTGGATAGTTTGTTCATCTGCTGTCTTCTCCTTTTTCTGGCCTAGAATGAGTTGGCCAGCTTCTGGGGGGTGTCCTTTGGCGATTGATGCTTGATTGATCTGGCTAGGGGTGCATAGTTTGTTTTGCCCAGTGGCAGTACTTCACTGCTGCCTGCATGCCACCAGTTCTGCCTTGGTGGAAGCCTTGTTAATTGGTTCTGGGGTTTTCCTAGGTTGTGTACTCATTTTTTTCTGGGCTGGTTTTCAGGGTTTATGTTCCATCTTGTGTGCCCAGGGTTTTGTTTGTGCATGGCTCTCACTCTGGTTCTAATGTTATCCACCTCCACATTACTGGAGTGAACGATATGGAAGAAAATGCAGAATAGAACCAGTAAAGAGCAGGGGTGCCATAGGCACAATCAGAGAACACTGTATAAACATCAGAGGTCCATGGTTGTTTAACATCCTCCCAGCAAGTATAAGAAATATTGTAGGAACAACCGTGGACATCTTCAAGAGAAAACTAGATGTTTTCAAAAAGAAGTGCAGGACCAACCGGGCTGTGGTGGGTATGTGGGCCTGCGGGCCACTCAAAGCAACAGCCTGGTGGACCAAACTCTCACAAGTCAAGCCTGGCCTCAGGCCGGGCTTGGGAAGTAGAAGAATTCCCAGAACCGCATCAAGCAGGTATCACCTAGGTTTCTCTGCACACACGTTACAGTAGGCCCTTAAGAGTTATTAGAAGCCTATGGCAGACCAGAGGCCCAAACACTGAGGCCATTGAACAGGTGTTGCTATTTCACCTAGGAGGAAAAATTGGCTGGAAAAGGAAAAACCACCACCCCAGGAGGGAAAAAGCGCCTCAACTCCGAGTGGTAGACATCTACCCAGATAACAAAGGCCAGAAAGGGTAAACCAAATCCCCCATTGGTATTCCAGGTCCATGACCCTCAAGTGTAACCTCAACAGAAGTCGACCCACTGACCTGGAACACCTGAAGACGTAGGCCTGTCGTTTGGCCTCGATTTTGGAATGTTTGTTTATTTTCCAGGCCATCTGGTGGTCTGTTTTCATGCTTGTTGGGTATCGGTTTGTGGCTTCATTAACTTGGATGGTTTCCTCAGTTCTCTGGACTCTAACTTTTTGAGATTCACTTGAGTGTTTGCTTAACTCCTGGAACCTACTGAAATCATGAGCATTCAGTGGAATACGGAGAAAAAGTTTAGATACAGGGGAGATTTCAGAGGCACTTAAATTAGCAGATACAACCTCACTCCACAAAGGGGCTTGCAAAACATTGGCAAAAAACTTTAGTATAGACCTGTTGCACTAATGTTACACATTATACAGACTTTTGAGAGGGTGATTAGGAGTCAAATCTTTAGTTTTATGGAGAAAAAATACCACTTAACCTAGGTGAACTTGGATTTAGAGATAGAAGATCGTGCCTTTTGTAGTTACTCTACCACTATGATGCATTTGGTAGATGTGAACATTGATAATATAAAAAATGATGTCCAAAGGAATAACAGGCAAAGTGGAACAATAGATGCCCAAATTTCCTGACAGAGGTCACGTAGAGTAACAGTCAACCAAACAAATTCAAACCCAGGGACAGTGAAAAGCTCTGTACTGCTACTCTTCCTAATTCTTATATCACATTCAAATATAAATCACCTTCGTAGCATCAACCAGGAAGATGATTGGATGGATTATGAGAACCTTCATATACAGGGATGCCACCACAATGCTCCATATTTTAAAAACACTTGTACTTCCTGTCTTGAATGCTGCTCGGTACGTGTGTCTCCTTTCAAGGCAGGAGAGATTTCTGAAGGAAAAGGAACAGAGAACACACACTGGTCTTCATGCATAGACAATAAAACACCTTAATCCTGAGACACACTCGCAACACTCAAAATTAACTGTCTGGAAAAGAGAAAAGAAAGGTATCATGTAATAGATTCATGAAAAATGCTCAAAGGTCAGGTTCAAAATATGCATAATAAAATAATGTGAGTGAGAGATATGTTGCAAAATGCATAATAGATCCATTGAAGAGTAGAGGTGCCATAGACACAACTCTGAAAATTCTATGAGTATCTTAGGCCTGTGACTATTCAACCACCTTCCACCAAGTATATGAAATAATACTTACAAAAGTGGATGATTTAAGAGGAACTGATGTGACTGGAACAAATTCTTGCAAAAAGTGCTAGATCAGCCAGGATGTAGCGGATATGTGGGCCTACGGGCTATTACAAATATCAGCTTATTGGAGCAAGTAATCACCAACAGGCCTGGTTTCAAGCCAGACTTTGGGAGTTAAAAACTATTGGAACTGACTACGGCCAAATTACAGGTACAGTACAGGTAAACACTATGATATAGAAAATTTGTTCACTATTTTTTTCCAATTCTCTTCATGTAGTTTTTCTGTCACATACAGTCTATTATTTTGCAATTTTTGTTTTTCATATGGGGGCAGTTGCCAAAAAATGTAGCCACAGTATACGTGTTAAACGTATATTTCTCGGCAGTTAATATTTGTATGCGGTAAGTACTGTATACAAGTTATACTCTTGCATGGTACTGATGTGTGTGTGTGTGTGTGGGGGGTGCATATACAGTAGTTGTACAGTCTTTGTATGTTTTAATGTCATGTTCCTCATGTCTTCTTAACTTGCTTGCAGGAAATGTTGTACTTGTGTTTTGTGTGTGCATTTACTAGTGGTGCATTTAATTGTGCATTTTATGTTTGTGATGTGTGCTAACTATTAATCAGAAATTAGCAGAGGCTGTATAATGCACAATGACACATTTGATAGCTGATTCATGGTTGTCTTGAAAATGCATATTGCAAGATTTGTTAAGATTTTTAGGACATTTAGGCATCTTCACTAACTATTCAGCATTAATATAATACCATATGCTGGGGTTTAGTGAGGAGATTCATGCAAACTTTATTCCAGCCCTGTGGATAATGGTGCACGGATCGGTGCAGCACCACTACTCTTTATGTTTCTGGTTGTCTGACGAGATTTTTTTTTTGTAGTAAATAATCTTTTTATATTTTCAGGGTATGCATTTCCCTTGTATTTTTACATTGTGAACCTCTTTATATCATGTATGGACAAATATAATTCTGTATGTAAATACTGTACAGTATATAATATACACACACTAATTATATACTAGTGGTATAAAATTATATAGTTGCAAACACATGTTTCACACCCATAACCATTGCCAGGGTACAGGTTAGGTACAGGTACAGGTCAACCTGAGCTGCCATGAAACAAAAGCAATGGATAATCTTTTTAGAGCAGATTTAATCCTGTTATCTGGATGGCTTAGGGCATCAGTTCTTATTTATTTATTCACAACTCATGCTTTAGGCACTTTGGTGCAATATATACTTCAGTTTTGTAATGTTGAATAGTATCCAAGAGGTACTGTTTCTAGAACGTGTCCTAGAATTACGTTCCAATTACATTCTCTGGCTTAGTCTTCTAAGTCAGCACCAGTCTGTCTGAACCATTGCACCATACAAGTGGACAGTCTTACTGTGTAGTATACAGTATACTGTTTAATGAAATAAAGGAGTAATGGATGGATTTGAACCTAGTACCATTGGGCTCGATCCCTTACACTAGCGATTGCAGGTCAATAATTTGATCCATAGCACGAGGACGTCAAGCCTCATTGTTCAAACCCCAGTCATTGATACCGATAATTATAGTTAACATTTTCTGAACAGTTCTGATACTGAATTCCTTTATCTACTTTTTGTATTCTTGGTGCAACTAGATTCCCTGCAAATGTTACATGAAGTAGAGTATGGGGAGGTGAAGGAGTGGTCTGAGTTGTACTGGCCAGCTGGAAAAAATGAAGTGGTGACGGTTCATCCTTATACGTGTGAAGAATCTTTTCACTGGGCTCCACAGACTTGCACATTTACCGAAGGGGTTATGGGTACTACAGATAAAATTTTGGCTTGTCATGGATTGTGTTTTGTTTTTCTTAAGTTAGGTGTTACTTCTTTTTCTTGATTGCAAATAACTGTACAAAAATTATTGTACATGTACTGTATTTTACTAAAAGATTCTCAAGTATTATACATAACTCTAGTTTAGTTTTATTACTTATAATTATGTACTGAATTGTATTTTAACATTTAAACTACCTTGTACAAAAGGAGTATTTGGCCTCAAAAGAGGAAAATTAACATAACTATGAAGCATAAATGATTAAGAGTGTTATAGACATTACAGTACTTTACCCTTGGTAAACTTGAGAACATAGTTAGACAAGATTGCTGGTAAAGTTAATATAGTACAGTATTGTGTACTTTTTTAAATTAACCTTTGGTATAAAATTGGAATAATGAATGTAATACAGTTGGCTATAAGTAATTAAGAACTTGTATATTTTTGATCTAGAGTAGTGAGTGCAGTAATACTAGTACCCATGTTGCAGGCGATGAGTCACAATAACGTGGCTAAAGTATGTTGACCAGACCACACACTAAAAGGTGAAGGGACGACGACGTTTTGGTCCGTCCTGGACCATTCTCAAGTCGATTCTCACAATCGACTTGAGAATGGTCCAGGGCGGACCGAAACGTTGTCGTCCCTTCACCTTCTAGTGTGTGGTCTGGTCTACCCATGTTGCTTTCGTGAATGTATAGTAATAATGGAGGATTCAGGAATGCCACTTGGAGAAAATCAAATGAAGCATGATTATTTAATAATAATCATGCTTGTCCTTTGATGAACAATTAATTGATTGATCTTTTGAGTTGTGTGTTAGTCATAGATAATAATGATTTAGCTTTTGTGTGTGAATTCTTGAGGTAACTGAATGGTACTATCTTACCTCTTGCTAAGACAATTGTGGTACTATGTTTATAATGGTAAAATTTGGGATGTATGAGAATATTTGATTGGTCTTTTAATATAAAACTAATTGTGGCATTAAAGACGTACTCTAACTTAATACAAATATTTAACTGATATTATAATAGCTTCATGTTTCATTGTAACTTGAACTGTACAGTTCAGAAACTGCACTCAATACACCCCTCACTCATAGCCTTAGTATATGCAATCATAAATCATTGTTGAATTGTAGATTTGTTATACATTCCTAATTTTGTTGATAGTCTCAAGAGAAGTACAGCAGTTGTAATGTCATTAATTCCTCAATATTACAACAGTGCAGCAGCAGCCAACCCGGCGTGTCGGTAGCATAGCCGACTATGATCCTGTGAATGAGCAGTACGGTTCCATCAGCCAGGGAAATGCCAATCCAGCAGGTGGGGGCTTTCGGCAAGAGACAACGTATCAGGTATGTTATCACATGATGGGCTTTGTCATCACATATCAGAGGTTATCGCATGATGAGCTGCTACTACTGGTCCTCAGAGCAGAGAGATATATAACGTAAAATATACAGTAATTAATATCATACTCATTCTGCAGCTACTTTTTATGCCTGATGAGGATTGGGCCCTGGTAGCCCAACCAAATATTCTATGAAGCCTGTTTCATTCCTTGTGTCAAGCCTTTTGTGACTAGTGGTGTAATTCCCAAGTGTAGCTACAGGTTGAGACCAACGCTAGTGGTGTCTCGTCTTTCCAGTACTCTGTTACATGGCACTTTGAAACTGCTAATGGTTTTGCCATCGGCTGCCTTCTCACTTCACTTGTTCCAACCATCTACGACTCTGCAAAAGAGAGCTTTCTAATACTTTTAGCACCTTTGTTGCCTTAGCTTGAATCTGTGGTCTCTTGTTCTTGAAGTTACAAGTTTCAAGAATTTCTGTTTGTCAATTCCTTTTACTATTTTGCATGTAGTGATTGTATTACCTCTCTTCTTCTAACTTTAGCATTTTTTAATTCCTGTTGCCTGTCCTCGTAACTTGTTTTTTGTTTTGTTTTTTGTTCTGGAAACCATTTCATAGTATACCTTTGAACCTTTTTCAATTTATTGATTTGCTTCTTAAGATATGGGCACTATACAACTGCTGCACATTCAAGTTTTGGTCACATAAAATTAACGAACAGGTTCTTCAATAATTTGCCATTTAAAAGAAATTTTGAAGTTGGAAAGTGTAGCATATGCACAGTTTCTTTTCTTTTCAAGTGGTCCTCTAGTGACAGTCTACATTCCAGAACCACCCCTAGATCTCTTTCTTTGTCAGAGTATTTTAATGCCTTTCCACATTTTTTTTTAGGATGTGTGTGGCCTGTTTTCTTCTATTCCACATTTCATAGCAAGGCATTTATTCAAATTGAATTCCATTTACCAAGTGTTGCTCCATACACTTATTTTGTCCAAGGCATTTTGAAGCATGTGTGTGTGGCGTGTTTTGCCTGTTACAACACAATGCATATTTCCTGTGACACATTTTGTATCCATTTTTCTCTGGGTATAACAAATTCTTTGACTTTTGCATAGCTGTTTTCTTGGTTCCTTCAATTTCTATTGTGGCCAATAGAAGTGGCCAATTTCTATTGTGGCCAATGTTCCTTCAATTTCTTCTATTTCCGTACCTTTCACATGAAAATCTGGTTGGCCCAGCAGGGAGTGCACTGGCTCTCAGCTGCTACCTTCGTGCCAGTGATTCTGCCTTGGTGGATGCTTTGTGGGTTAATCTAGTTTCCTTGGTCCCCGTTTTAAGCACGTGTTTCTCAGGTCCTCTGTAGTGTCATTAACCCTTGGACAGCGGCTATTTAAAAATGTACATTCCTGCCTATGCGCAAAAAGTGAAAAAAAAAATCTGGCATCTGTCAATACGTGATGCCAACTTTGCTGAGGATATTCGAGACACGACTCCTGTGTTATCCTCGGATGTTTCACCGATTGTTTATCACTTGTTTCTCTTTATTTACAAAGAGTATGATTGTTGAATAACTTGATAATTCACATAATACATGATAATGTTTCAATTAATTATTGGTTTACCTAGTAAACCTCAGTACATTATTAAAGTAGTGAGAACCATCTGAACTTAATATACAGTGGTGTTGGGCTCTGGGTGATGACATATGGCCTAATTGGCACCATATGGGTGAGAGTATAGATTAAAACAAAGGTATGAGCTTGAGCTACCTCATCCCTATGAGTGTATTTTACCTCGATAAACTTGTTTCAATTTCAATTTCAAGGTGTAAGTCACCAATGTGCCAGCCACAGATGTACTAGGCAGGCTCCTAGTACATGTAATGCATGATAATGGCTCAGTTGATGATTGGTTTACCTGTACAGTAAACCTCATTATAACCATATGCAGTTGTGAAAAAACCATATGAACATCATTGGTATACATATGGAATTATGACGTAATTTATATACAGTGACGATGACCATATTCACCTAGTAACATTCATGACGATAAACACATTAACAGAGTAATGTAACCATGAAATGGTAGCAGGAATTTATTCATGGGTCAAGATAAACTCCATTACAGTACTTTCACAGAGAGCTATTATATCTTATTTGCATCATACAGTACATGTACAACCCAGACAATAATTGTCTTAAGTTATCATATGACAATAACAGCATTACCCCATGAACATATGATGATAATCACTGTCTAAAGGTCAAGTCCAGTGAGCCTGCAGTCTACCCTCACGCCCATGCTGTTCATAAGTGTGCTACTCTCGTGGCAGTTTTCACTACCATGCCCTGGGCTGGCATCGGGCACTGGGATTTTGGCGGTGTAATAGGGTCCTGGTGGCCCAGTATTTAGTTACTGTTCCTAGGCCTCTTCATTTCTGTGTTGTTTTGGGTCGAATCTCTTGGCTTAGTGTCAAGACCTTCATCTTGACTGCCTGCAGTTTCTCCTCCTCCCTGGCTAGTCCCTCCATTTCCCCTCAGTGGGTTTTCCCCAGAAAACCAGCCTTGAATGTAATGAAACACCTCTTTCAGGGTGTGCCGCTTGATTCCCTCCCTCCCTCCCTTCCTTCCAGGTTGTCAGTTGGTGGGTTTGTACATTTACTCCAGAACTGGTATGGAAAACCAGAAGGGACCCGGAGCTCTGGAGCTCCGGAGCACCCACCCTTCCTAACTGCTAGCTCATGCTTGTTTGAAGTCAATCATTTGTTTACATTCTTTTGCAAGTTTGGCAGTTTTGAGGCATCAATGTCTTTGAATTCAGCAGTAGCCGAATCCAGCAGTAGCCTGTATTGGTTCATTTTCTGTTGGATGGCAGAATGTCGCCTGCTCTCTGTATCTCTGTGAGGAGGCTAGGTTCTGGCTCTGGTCCCCAGTAGGCCAAACAGAACTACATGGCTGATGTGACCTAGTACTTTGACCTTGAGATGGCTCATCCAGAAAGATGCACTTCACTACATTCGATACTTTTGTTAATAGTATTTGATAAAGTTTATGCATTGTACAAAAGTTTACAATTAGATTAGGTCAACTGCCAGCACAACTATTTCTCGAGGGCCAGGCTTGGCTGTGGCTTAGGCAAACAATCCTCATTGGCACAAACATTCCTCAGAATAATTTGCACCAAACACAAACTGTTTTGACCATCCAGGAGTCTAATTGAGAGGGTTTCATTAGAGTGAGGATCTACTATACTTTTAAGTCTATTTTTCTTCTGCAGAATTTTACTTTCCTTTCATTTCATGAAGCCATCCTATATTGTATCAAAAAATTTCAGGTTCAGCGGACAAACCTTTATGATCAGCAACCTCCACCTGTGCAGATGAATTCCAACCCATCAGCTCATCACAAGGTTAATGCTCCACCTACACAGCTTGGGGTGAGTCCCACTTTGATGAAATTCTATCTATAGATTCATAATAATAATAATGTTTATTCAGATAACAGTACATACATTCAAAATGAGTTACAAACAGAATGTTGGATTTCTAGGCGGAGAACACTAGTGGACTTCTCAAGGAGACGGTGTCTCCGTTCTTTGCTTCTTTCCTCGCCAGGCTGTGCTCGCTCTCTTTGGAATTCGCCTGGGCCCTGTCTCTTACATTTTCTTCGCCGTTTTGTTCGTTGCTGTTTGCAAAGTCTGTGGTCGTGCAGTTTCTGCAGGCAGCTTCGTCTGGTTGTCGTCCCATGTCAGGCTTGTTAGTTCTCCGGATGCCATTTTCAGATTTCTCGGAAGAGTCGGGCCAGGGTTCAGGGTTCCTCCAGTCGAGGTGGGCCTTTGGTGCCAGCTTCTGAGCCGACGTTGTTTTCGGAGCTGGCGTCGTCTGATCGGCGCAATGATTGCTCTGTTCGTCGGCTGACTTCTCATAAGGGGCATTGGTACTTCCGCGGTTCGCCCCGTTGACGGTACGATGGGGGGGGCAGCTCACTCTGTTTGCTTGAGCCTGGTCCCACAATTCGTGGGCACTTAGGGTCGTCTCCACTGGCCTGTAATGTCATCTCGAAGTGGGTATGTTGGGCGTGGTCGAAATGACCCTCAGGCAGGTTTCCACTCTGTTTCTGGTGCCGAAATTGGACTGTACAGATCTGAGGTTCATTTTGGACTTGTCCCATCTGAGCCGCTGGATTCCTTGCCCCTCCTTTTGGATTTCCATTCCGTCTCAGGTCCGGCTTCTGTTAGAGCCAGGGGCCTGGATGGTGTCCCTGGAGCTCAAGAATACGTATTGGCATGTTACTCTTCACCCGGGGTTCAGTGACTGATTAGGTTTCGTGGTGGGTTCCTGGGGCTTCGGGGGAAAGTCAGAGTTGGGCCTTGGGTCCCAGCTGCCCTTTTTGTGGGCCTTCTTGTTCCAGTGGGGTGGGATTTTCTTATTCCTGCTCGGTAAGAGTTTGATTTGGGTGCCTTTGAATGCCTTTGGGTTCTTTGGTTTCATCCTTCCAGAGGTTTCCTGCCTTTCAATTGCCCTCAGTGGCAGCTCAGGAGGCCATTTGTATGCACCTTCTGCACGATCCTGATTCTGCCTCGGTGATAGACCTGCCTTCTTTTGAGTTCAATTCTTCTGATATTTTTGTGGTGTATTTTGAGGTGCTGGTGTCGTCCAGGCTTGTAAACTGTTCTATGTTTACCCTTGGGGCTTGAGAGAGATCTCTCCACAATACAGGAGACACCTCCCACATGCTGAGTGGCAGGAAGTATCTCCTGTTTTCTGGGTGTTCTGAGGGGCTCTTTGGAGCCTCTCAATCCCTGCCTCTTTGCTCCTGCTCTCTTCCCTCATCTAGTCTTGTGCAGCTGCATGCTCAAGTCTCTCAGTTGTTGGCTACGTTGCTTGCAGATGACCTTCGTGCCCACTTGCACTTGAGCTCCATCGTGTGCTTCTTGAGCTGCCTGGAGCTTCCTTCCTATTGGCAGATTGGCTGCATTCAGAATACTGGCTGGTGGGGCTCACGTCTGCCCTTATGCAGGTCACCCTTTTGATAGAGCATTGAGGGGGCGGGGGGGTTAACACTCGGTTTGCTGATGGTTTGTCACATGATTTGTTGGTTTTCAGGTTACTTCTTGTGGCTTGCAGTGGAGTTGGCCAGTCATGCTTCCTTCGGGGGGCTTGGGGCTTTCGGGGTGGACCTCCTTTCCTTGGCTTCATCAGGTCATCTTGGGGTTGGTGACTTTAGGCATGATCAAAACAACTGCATCTCTTTGAGGTTTTTCTTTCCTGCCTGTTTCTCGTCCCACAACAGGGGACTCTGGATTTCTGGTTCATCCTCGGCTTGTCTGGGTTGAACCTGTTCATTCTTTGCCCCTCGTTTTGGATGACCACGTTATCCCAGGTCTATCTCTAGCCAGGTGCTTTGATGATCCCTGGACCTCCAGGATGTGTCTTATTGGGTCCCTATCCATCTGAGGTTCAGGGCTTATTTGAGCTTTCTTGTGGGATGTACAGGGGAATAACAGCTAAAAGGATAATATTAGTTTCAGTTGTTTATTCCTTTTTCCAATGCTGTTATCGTGCTATGTATGACTATGAGGCGGCTGACACAGCCTTTCCACTTTCAGGTTCTGCCAATTGGGCTCTCTCTGGCTCCTTGCATTTTTACACGTTTGTCTCAGGTCATGGTGACCCATTTTCGATGCTGGGTGTCAAGTGTTGGCCTACCTCAATAAGTGACTGGTGTGGGCTCCCAGCCAGCTCTCCTGTCTGCTAGTCGGGGTTTTGGTTCTTCCCTAGCTCGCCGGGTTCAGTTTCTTGGCGAGCTGGCAGGAGTCCCAGTTGGTTTTGTTCCTGCTTTGGACTTGATTGAGCCTTGTTTGGAACCCTTGGTCTGTGTCACTTTCCTTGCTTTCAGCGGCCTTGCTCCAGCTGTGGTGCCATCATCGTTTTGTGTTGAGAGGGCACTAGATGGCTAAGTGGTTGGTCAATTGGTTGTCCAGAAGCTTGAACTTTGCCATTTTTGTTTATCTTTTGTTCAGGGTTTGGCTTTGGGGGCTGTTCTAGTTTCTGAGGGGCAGACCCTTTCTCCATTCTAGTGATTGCTGGGATGGACTCCAGGGGTCCTGCCCCAGCTGCTATATTGCCGACTTCCTTTTCGTTTTTTTCGGGGTTCAGTTCCCTGGTGCCTTCCTCCACCCTCACTCATTTTCACAGATCCCTTGGCTCTCGGATGAGACTTTGTGACCAGCGCTTAATAGTCCTGCCTGGGTCGTAGATCTGTAACCGTACGTCAGGCACGTATTACATTTCAGGAGTTTGCGGCTATGTAGCAGGGGCTGCAGAGAGCTCTGATTCCTCCGAACTTTGTGATCCGGCTCTATTCAAGCTGTTCCCCCATCATTCTTTGTCTCAACCAGGAGGTTCTCTTCAGTCCATGTTTCTTTGAATCTGGTCTCTTTGAATAGCTCAGTCTCTTCAAGTAGCTCATTTTATAAATTACAATAACAAAATACAGTATCTGGAAAATGGCAATTTTTCAGAAATTTTGATTTCATGTGATTTTGAACTGAAACCATAATGATATATGACCTGGATTTTGTTGAGTTCATTGTACAATTATTGTTATCATTATGCACTACTGTATAGTACTGCATATTTGGAGCCGAGATATGCATTATGGACAAATGTGTGCAATCAATGACGTATTGTAAACAATTAAAAATTAGCTCGTAAGATACACAGCGTACAAGGGGAATAACAGCTAAAAGGATAATGCTAGTTTCAGTTGTTGACCAGACCACACACTAGAAGTTGAAGGGACGACGACGTTTCGGTCCATCCTGGACCATTCTCAAGTCGATGTGTGCAATCTGTAACCGTACAGATTACAACCTAATCGACTTGAGAATGGTCCAGGACGGACCGAAACGTTGTCGTCCCTTCAACTTCTAGTTTGTTGTTTATTCCGTTTTCCAGCGCTGTTATCGTGCTATGTACGACTATGAGGCGGCCGACACCGATGAAGTGAGCTTCAGAGACGGAGACCTCATAATCAACTGCACGGCCATTGATGAAGGCTGGATGACTGGCACCATCCAGCGAACTGGAGTTACAGGCATGCTGCCTGCAAACTACGTGGAGCGAGTTAGCTGAATTTCTACACCGTGCAACAAGTTCTTTAGGGGTCTTCTTTAAGGACTTTTTTTTTTTTTTTTGTCTTTTAAGGTATTTTAAGTGATAAATTTCTTTTGCATTATTCACTGTTACTGTGAGGTTTGTCAATTTATTTTTTGTGATTAATTGGTTACATTGAGATATTTATATATATATATATATATATATATATATATATATATATATATATATATATATATATATATATATATATATATATATATATATATATATATATATATATATATATATATATATATATATATATGTCGTACCTAGTAGCCAGAACGCACTTCTCGGCCTACTATCCAAGGCCCGATTTGCCTAATAAGCCAAGTTTTCATGAAATAATTGTTTTTCAGCTACCTAACCTACCTAACCTAACCTAACCTAACTTTTTTGGCCACCTAACCTAACCTAACCTATAAAGATAGGTTAGGTTAGGTTAGGTAGGGTTGGTTAGGTTCGGTCATATATCTACGTTAATTTTAACTCCAATAAAAAAAAATTGACCTCATGCATAATGAAATGGGTAGCTTTATCATTTCATAAGAAAAAAATTAGAGAAAATATATTATTTCAGGAAAACTTGGCTTATTAGGCAAATCGGGCCTCGCATAGTAGGCTGAGAAGTGCGTTCTGGCTACTAGGTACGACATATATATATATATATATATATAATATATATAATGTACCTAATAGCCAAATACACTACTTGGCCTAGTATGCAAGGCCCAATTTGCCTAACAGGCAGTGAGATTTTCATTTTTTTTTTTTTTAACTTGTATACAATTATGCTATTTGCATTAATATTATATTACGAACATGAATTACTGACTTAGTTATGTTAGTTTTGGTTAGGTTAGGTTAGTTGTTAGGTTTGGGCATATTTATATGTTAGTTAGCTGTAACTCAAATTAACAAAAAATCATATATATAATATAGTGGAGAGCGTTATCATATCATTAGAAAAAACTTAGAAAACTATATAACTACAGGAAAAAGTGGCTCATTGGGCAAATCCGGCTTTACCTAGTAGGCCAAGTAGGGCATTCTGGGTATTAGGCGCAAAACACATACACACACACATACATATACATACATGTATGTATGTCATTCATGTCATCCTTCTGAAGATGTATTATTAATACGAAAGTACTTAAGGAAATTCCTGTATTAATCCTTCCTTTGTGGTCTAACACTGTCATATTGTTCATATTGATGATATTGTTAATTTCTTCGTGATTTGTATGTATGTACACACATATATATGTCATGCCTAATAGCCAGAACCACACTACTTGACTTAATATGCAAGGTCTGATTTACCTAACAAACCGAATGATTTTGGTTATTTTCAAATATTTCTTTCCAAATTGGTTCATTTCTAACCATAAGAATGTATTAGGAACGTAAATTACTGACTTTGTTATGTTGAGATAGGTTTGGATAGGTAAGGTGAGGTTAGGTAGGTAAAGTTAGGTTTGATCAAATTTCTATGTTAGTTTTGACTCGACATCACATTTCAATCATATATAATACAATGAAAACTTTATCATTTCATAAGAAAGTTTCTTGAAAAAATTTAATATTTCACAAAAATTTATGTATTAGGTAACTCTGGCAATTGGGTATATTATGTATATATATATATATATATAATGTCGTACCTAGTAGCCAGCACGCACTTCTCAGCCTACTATGCAAGGACCGATTTGCCTAATAGGCCAAGTTTTCCTGAATTAATATATTTTCTCTAATTTTTTTCTTATGAAATGATAAAGCTACCCATTTCATTTTGAATGAGGTCAATTTTTTTTTATTGGAGTTAAAATTAAAGTAGATATATGACCGAACCTAACCAACCCTACCTAACCTAACCTAACCTATCTTTATAGGTTAGGTTAGGTTAGGTAGCCGAAAAAGTTAGGTTAGGTTAGGTTAGGTAGGTTAGGTAGTCGAAAAACAATTAATTCATGAAAACTTGGCTAATTAGGCAAATCGGGTCTTGCATAGTAGGCAGAAAAGTGCGTTCTGGCTACTAGGTACGACATATATATATATATATATATATATATATATATATATATATATATATATATATATATATATATATATATATATATATATATATATATATATATATATATATATATATATATATATATATATATATATATATATATATATAATATAAAATGATTGAAGACCCTCATTTGTGTGTAATAAGATTCAGCAAAAGAAATCATTTATCAAACTACAGCTAAAACATATATTTTGCTTATTTTATATTCAAAATTTGTAACTGTACATATATAAAGCCTATGATTTGTATGCAGAGTGCTGTAAGGCTCTTGTGAAAGTGTTTCCCGGTTTTACTGGGGAAGTCCTTTTGCGATGGCACAGTTGAAACGCCTGTCTGGAATCACACTAGTTTATGTTGTGTAGGTCATACTTCATTTTCTTTACCAAAGCTTGTGGATGCAGTTATTAAAACCAACAACGAAGCATTTAAATATATTAATATCTTGGAAATTGGGTGATATGTATTGAACACTTAAGTGGCCTTACTGTAGCCTTATAAATACTTTAATTTTACTAATATTTCTTAGAACCTTTCAGGAAATTTGAGCAAGTTCAACTGGGTAATGCTAGTTTTGATCTATAAGCTGAAGTGTATACTGTACAGTACTTTCTTAAATTTGTATAATTAGTATAAAAATTGGAAAGTGCTACATTATTATTAAATAATGTAGATTCTGTTCCTCTAAGGCCTGTAATAAGAGAATTAGTGTATAACAGTAATTGAAACATGGAAATTTGTCAAGAGGCTTCAAGAAATTAATGAATTTTTAAATACTAATAGTAATAAAAGCTTTTAACCATGACTTGATAGCACGCAAACCTGTGCCAAGAATATATTAGACTAAGCATCTTTAATCTTTGTTTTCTTCAATGCTTACTACTGTTACAGGGTTTGTTGTACAAACTGTGTAGTCTTTAAACAAATCTATAAATACATTTTTGGATTCTACCCAATTTAGTTGGGAGAAGAGTATGCTGGTTAACTAATTTTTGTTATGAACTTGTCCTTAAAAATGGAAAGAGGCTTGTGATTATACAGTTGTCATACATGTTTTATGGCAGTACTGTAGTTTAGGTCACATGCAGTACTGTAGTTTAGGTCACATGCAGTAAATTCAGTTAATGTGCCCTTGTGTAATGGCTACTACCTTGGTGCTGTTGACTGGGTTCACTGTGGCAATAATGTACATTGTTACAAAGTTGTGCTTGATAACAGTAGCCACTCGGTGTAGTGGTTTCTTAGTGTCTTTTTAAATATTTGTATTGAAGGCAATGGCGGTGTGGGCGACATGTTCCTCTCTGGTTAATGTTACTTTGATGAAAGTGCCAATTATATTCTGCCATCTTGTCACATTTTTTTAGCATACTGTATTTATTGACCAAACCACACATTAGAAGATGAAAAGATGACGAAGTTTCAGTCCGTCCTTATTACTATTGACAGTACTATCGACTTGATAATGGTCCAGGACGGACCGAAATGTTGTCGTCGTGTCATCTTCTAGTGTGTGGTTTGGTCAACATTCTTCAGCCACGTTATTGTGACTCATCATTTGCATACTGTATTAGTTCTTTAGCAAATAGTACAGTATCATAATCTGTTAATACTTTAAAGTTCAATACATTTCTAATCTGCTGATTGATGATACCAGATGACTAGCATTAATCTACAAATATATATATACAGCATATATAATAATTATTGATTTACCAATATAATGTGTGTGTGTGTAAAATAGTTGTGCTTGTTGGTTGATTAATTGAAGTGGCTGACAAAGATATGGATTAATTTACATTATTGAATATAGAACTTGCCTTTAGATAAGAGTTTACTGCTCACATTGTTTATCTTCTACTTAAAGGGATCATAAGCAACTCATATGAGGTGTTTTGCTGTAAAAATATCATAGTTATGTTTTGTTTGGAGTATATATACAGCATTATGGTTTGAATGGTGGCACGAGCAAAATTATTCCTTTAAGCCAGTATTCTTTGATATACTTTATTCCTTTGCAAGTTGTCATTCTTATATATTTTCAGTTTGGTAATAGGCTTTGATTGGCCATAGGCTTATATAGCAGTGAAATGCATCACATCTTTATATATTTTAAATTGGTTGTGAATGCTCTTTATTTCCTTCTCCAAGGCTATGGGTCCCCACAATTGCACAAAAGGTGGTACCCCATTTAAATTTATATTTTTTTAAATTTTGAGTGAGGTGCTTAAATAGTAAAGCCAAGTCTGCAGGATTTATCTATTTTTCTTTTCAAGTTTTGTTGCAAACAAGTTCCTCTGGTTGTATACTGCTTGTGGTTAAGCAAAACCTTTACATGTTTATAAAATAATCTAGAAATATAATTGTAAGTTTCAGGAATATTACGTCTGGATCTCTCTCCTTGTGTACTTAGAATGTTGCTAGTTATTACATTGACGGTGAGCCCAGTGCCTTTTAAATTAAGCCTATTTCCTAACCTTTTGCCCAGAGGGGTTGCCGCAACTGAAGTCAGTAGACACCTGCCTGTAAACTGCTGTACCTGTACTACGCAACTACACACACTGTATCAGTGACAGTTTTGTAATGTCACTGATTATTTCAAAGTTTGCACTTCTAATGCTGTTTTAATGATAAGTTTTAGTCTATCAAATTATATAGACAAAATTATCACTTTATGCAGTGCAGAATAGCATAATAAAAATGTTACCAAAATCTGAAATTTGTCCATAATAGGAATTTGTCTTGGTAATCTTTTATAATCTGCCTAACATCTTATGAAACTGGTGTCAAATATTTTTTAAGTAATGGAACAAATTAATAAATGTGGTAGCCCATGACTGACAGTTTCATCTTTAACATGCATCATCTTGTCAAGCATTATAATGTAGACATTCCTTTAATCTTGGATTCAATAGTGTCATTTACTTGGATTAATAACCTCAAGTATAACGAGGATTGATAAAATGCTCAAATTTTAAAGATGGGCTAATGTATATCATTTAGTACCATTACTCCATACAGGGTATCTCACCTTAGCATTGAGAGGCATTAGCCCTATTCAACATGCTTTAGTTACTTGTCTTTGATG